CACACGGTAAGTAGGTCAGAATCAGGTCTGTCTGTGTCCAGGGGTATGTTCTTCACCACCACGGGAGCTTGCCCATCGCGATTCATTTATGGAACCACTATGTATCTCTGTTTTCCTTGAATAGTCCTTTTCACAGCCTTGCCTGTTACACTTGTTAATATTGCCCATTTTGACTCTCAAAAGCCAATCAGTTTAGACAGTACTTTGGTCATTCTGTATGGACCACAGGGTCAGAGCTGCCCAGGAAGCCTGTTAAAGGGCAGGCGCCTGAGCTCCACCCCAGATCCGGATGCTGTCTGAGGGTTGGCCCAAGAACTCACTGTCAGGTATTTTTAAATTGTGTTGTGAAATCTCCCGGTGAGTGTTGAGCCCTCCTAAATGGATAAATCATTCATCTATGCTGTTCTGACTTCCTCAGAGGCCCACCCCGGTCCCGAGGAAGTATTGGTACCCCCACCAGATCAGAGAGATGCCCCCAGACAAGTAATCTCCCTGAAGCCTTGCAGAATCTGAGTGGTCTCATGCCAGCCCACCTGCCAGGACAAACCTCCTCCAGAGCCCTCTCCTCCCCACATTTTACCTCCTACCTCTCCCCAAAGGTGGTGATCTCTAATTAGTTCTGACTTTGTCCTAACACCCACCACGCTAATTCAGACAACCTAGGAGCAAAAGAAGGTGCTATGGTTCTCAACTGGGGTTACCCAACTTGTAAAATAGCAGTGTAGGAAATCCACCTACTGGGCACATCCGCCCTGCAGCAGCCTCAGCAAATGAATGTCCCATCTTTGCTTATTAAAGGCCAGCAACAGGGATCCGCCTCCTTAAAAAGTTATGTCATTGGTAGGAAGTTCTCGGAGACACTGTCTCAAAGGGAGCCCCAAATGTAATTTCTTTCTAGGAGGTGAGGGAGAGAGGGAGAGAGATGTAAGAGAGGAACATTGATTGGTTGCCTTCTTATAAGCACCCCAACCGGGGGTTGAACCTGCAACTTGGGTGTGTGTCCTGACTGGGAACAGGACCCCAACCTTTAGGTGTACAGGCGGATGCTCCAACCGAGCCACACCGGTCAGGGCCACATCATCCCTTAATAACACCTTTCCATAGTGTTGACATGCTTTCCACCTGGGCTGCTTCTGTGCCCACATCTTACCTTTTCGTGGTGCTAGCATTGTCATTATTGCCTTCTAAAGGGGGAGAGGAGTGTGTTAATTGGTGCCATTTTATACTGTCATTTTGATATAAATTTGTTTTCAATTTTGTATTAAAACGGGCTTATCATTCCCACTCTGTGAAGTCACATGTGAAATGACACCGTGGAATGCAATCAGCAAATTCTGAAACAAAACTAAAGGACAAAGGATATGATCCCTCCCACCCCCCACAAATTGCAAGAGAGAAATTTTCATCAAGACAGCAGAGCAGGCAAACGCTGTGCTCACCTTCCTCCAGTGCATCAAAATTTACTAGACTGCAGAACCACCCCATTTGGAAACAGCCTGAAGTCTACCTAAACAGAAGCCCCATATAATTAAGGATATTCAGAAGAAGCCACATTGATACTGGCAGGAGGTCTGCAGATGCTAAAGGGGCAGGTGCCATACTCACAGTGTAGCAGTTAAGAAAGAGTGGTGGTGGGGTATCTGGGCTGCAGTGCCCCCCACCCGGGAGGGAGGGGTCCCAGGGCCAGGAAGAAAATCCCTGGAACTTCTGGCTGTGGAAGCCAGCAGGGAGTTTGGCTGGGTGGGAGGGCTGCTTGCTGGAGTTCCAGGTGTTCCCCTTGAGGGGCCAGTGCAGGGATTTCCTCACTGGCAGACTCACTTGCTCAGCGCTGCAGTGTTGGGGCAGGAGCTTGCAAATCACCAGGGACATCGGGGAGGAACTGCATTCTCTGGCTTCAGAGTGAGGGCTGGAGGCGCAGCATCCTCCCAGACAGAAGTGTGGGCAGAAGCCACTGTTTTTTTCACCGGCTCTCCCCCACCCAGCTTGCACACCTATCAATAATTCCTTTAAATGTAAATGGTTTAAGTGCTCCAATCAAAAGACCAGTCTCTATCAATACACAAGTGAATAGAGAAAAGATAGTACATGTATACAATGGAATATTACTCAGTCATAAAAAAGAAAGAATGCAATTTTGCCATTGTGACAACATGGAAGGACCTGGAGGGTATTAAGTTAAGTGACATAAGCAGAGAAAGACAAGTACCATATAATTTCACTTATACATGGAACCTAAAATTCCCAACAAATGAACAAACAAAACAGAAAGAAATTCATAGATACAGAAAGCATTTTGATGGTTGCCAGATGGGAGTGAAGTTGGGAGGGAAAAGGGGGGGAATTAAGATGTACAACCTGGCAGCTATAGAAAGTCACGTGCATGTAAAACACAGCCTAGGGCATATAGTCAATAATACTGTAATACTGATGTGTGGGTCAGATGGGCACCAGTCTGAACGGGGTGATCACTCTGAAAGTTGTGTGTCTCATCACTGTGTTGTACACTTGAAACAAGTAATAGCGTCAACTGTAATCTTCAAAATTATTAAAAGATAAATCAGCCCTGGCTGGTGTGGCTCAATGGATTGAGTGCCGGCCCGCGAACCAAAGGGTCGCAGGTTCGATTCCCAGTCAGGGCATATGCCTGGGTTGCAGGCCAGGTCCCCAGCAGAGGATGTGCAAGAGGCAACAACACACTGATGTTTCTCTCCCCCTCTTTCTCCATCCCTTCCCCTCACTCTAAAAAAATAAATAAAATCTTAAAATAAAAATAAATCAAAACATTTTTAAGTAAAAAAAAAGAGAGAATTATTCAACCCCCCAATTCTAATGCATAACCTTCACCTACTCTCCATTGCTTATGTAGGGGCACTTTCTTATCACCAAGTTGTTGTTCCAGTGAAAAGAGAAAAATGATGGAAACTTTTGTTTAACCAAGCAGGCTTGGGCAAAGTCGGCCGGAGAGTCTCTGTTTTAAGAGGGACCGCTGCTAGAGGAAAGTAGTTCACCTTGAGAATCCAGCGCCGTCGTGTGACGCCCGCCCGCACCTGCTGTCTGGTACATGCTGACCTCACGCAGACGGTTACCTGGATGACTCACTTTTCCTTGGCCCTAGGACTTGGAACTGCATAAATTCCTAAATGCGTCAGAGGAACGGGATCCACGGCATGTTCCCGAATTAGTAGCACCTTGGTTGTGATCAGAATTTCAACTGAGAAATGTTGGTTGAATGTGTAAGGCCCTTTAGGAGGCTAAACAAAGCCACGGGGACCTCCACAGGGCTGTCCTCGCTCCCAAACTCGGGCAGCTCCAGGTTTGGTTTTTACCAAGTTTGGTCTATAGACACCACGGTTCTCTGCCTCCCTCACACTGCAGAACCCCAGTCCCTCACATCTAAGCGTCCTTTCCTGCTTTGATGTGCCGTCACCTTGCTTTCTGGTGCGGCAGCAGCCTCCTCGTTCTTGTGCCCAGTGCCCCTTCTCTTGAGTGAGTGTTGGGAACTGCCCTGCCTGGTTTCAGAAGCTGTAAACCCCCACGGCTAAGGCTGAGTGAGAGACCTTAGGACCATAACCCACTAAGGAGACAAAGCTTATCTTTCTGGCAGGAGCACCTCCTCTGCTCCCTTTTACTTCACTCTGCTTCGCCCCAGGTGGATGACCGGTTAGACAAGGACGGGTAAGATTCCTCAAGGGAGGGATGACCTAAGACAGGCATGGTCATGAAAGGGCCCTCAGGGAAGGACTTGGGGGGCTATAGAAAAAGGGGGTGATGAACCCTCGCCCTTCGGCTTTAACATAGCTTGAGTCCTCATTCTGTCTGTGAGAAGTCTCCTAATCTCTTGGCTGCCTTACTTCCCCTGCCTGACTTAAGCCTGAAACAATGCCAGAGGGCGGTTTAGCCCTGTGCTGGAAAGGGCGGGTTTCCTAGGGCAATCAGGCCTAAGAAGGAATGCATAAAATCCTGTGAAACCTGCCTTGCTAATACCCTCAATTTAAACGATAAGGGTCCGAGCAAGAAGTGAGTTCATTCCCCAAAGTTTTATGGCCCTTCAGCTATCTGACCCTGACTCAAAATAGGCCCTCAGAGTTGTTTGAATGTTATCTATTGTTTGATCCTTACTGCTTGACAATGATGAATGAGGACCTTCCTTGAGGTAATGCTCCCAGACAAGCAGTAAAAGCCTGTCCAGGCAGGGGTCAGGGCGCTCTCTCACTCAGAGAGTAGCCATGCCGTCCCTTTTTCTCCAAGGACTTCTGCAGTCCGTGTGAATTCGTTCCTCGCATCCACAACACCGAGGACACCGCCGGTCGGAGTCCACTTCAAGTGAGGACTGTGACTCGCTGCTAATAGACTGGTAAATGGGGAGAATGTCATTTGAGACTAATTTACAAAAGGCTCTGGCTTCCATCTTGCTCTCTGATGGAAGCCACCGCCATGCTGGGGGCTGACCTAGGGAGAGGCCCACGTGCCAAGGAACTGAGGGAGGACTTAGTTCAACAGCCAGTGAGGAACTGAGGCCTTTAATCCAACAAACCACAAGGAACTGAAACCACCCGAGTGGTTTTGGAAAGCCCGCCAGCATCGTGTTCACAGTGTAGAGGCTGAGCCACAGGGCCCAGGCAGACCAGGCTTGGAATCCTGACTGACAGGAACTGTGAGACAACAGGCGCCTGTTTCAAGCTGCTGTGTGTGAAGGTAACTTTTTACACAGCAATAGAGGACCAGTACACCTGGGACAAACGAGGCATCACTACATCACCGCCTGAGCACTGTCTAGCAGTTCCCCTGGGCAAGTATCTCAACCTGCAAGGGCTTCAGCTCCTTCCCTTCACGTGGGGAGAGCCTTCCCCACCTCACGGGTTACGATGTCTGTCTGAAGGCACCTGCTCAACAGGCACCCAACAACAGCTTGACGTGGATGCAACATAGAAAATGTGATCCAATTTCCTTACACAAAACATTTTTAATTAGTAAAATGAAAGGACACCTTCAAACTCAGGTAAAAACCATGTTTTTCTTTTAATTGACTACTTAATTCACATTTCCTTCTCGGCTGCTACTTTGGTAAGAAGTAGGTCCCACCTCTCAAGAACTCTGCATCTGGACAGGCTGAGACAGAGCCAGTGTGAACACCAAGCCCCAAACCAGGGCCTTTGGAAGAAGAACAGCAAAACCCAGCTTTTCCTTTGGGAAAGGGACTATGAATCGGAGGGTCCAAAGCTCCACTTTCTAAACAGAAAAACCTGGAGCTCAATGTAAAAATGGAAACCGAAATGTATCAGCAACGAAGCATAGTACCCTCCTCGTATACTCAAGGTGAAGGTGGTTTCTGAGAAATAAGTATCTGATTACCTGGCTTCTTGTGTTAGGAATGGCCCCCTTCCAGCATTTTTACAGGAAGATGTTTCTATTTCTATTTCATTTCCAAACAGGTATAAAATCTACTAAAAGGAAGGAAATGAATCAGAATAAATCAGCTCACTCATAAAAGACACTCCTAGGTAATGATTTTTGGTTGCTGAGAATATTCAGCACATTATTCCAAAGTGGCAAAATCTGAGGTTATTTGAAGAAGAGATTTCAAAAGAGGCAGCTACATTCACCGATAAAATCATGTAAGACACACATACATATAAACCCTATTTTTTCAGTGTATATGTCAAAGGGCCAAGACCCCTGATCATCAAAATAAGTTACTTTTGTATTACAGTGCACAGAACAATAGAGAAAAAGATGCTTTCTTGGAGAGTGACCGAAAGGCATTTTGCTGAAGGTCCATATCACTCTGAGGGGGAAGGCTCGGAGCCCGGTGCAGCAGCTCAGCCTTCATTAGCTCGAGCCTTCCTTTTCTTTGGTTGCGGTGACCTCGGTAGGCGCGGTCTCTTCCGAATGTTCTCCTGGCTTCTTCTTCTCTTCTTCCTCCTCCTCGTCTTGGGGATAGAGGTCAGGGTACTTCTGCATGCATTCCTGCATGGCCCGGAACTGGTTCACACAGTCTGACCCCTTGACGTCCTCCGTGCTGTAGTGGAAGCAGGAAAAGGCCGACTTGAATTGTTCCCCACAGGGGCCACTGGCCATGCCCCCAAGGCAGGGGCAGTTCCAATTAATGTCTCCATTGGGCAGGATCAATCCTGGAATAGGAAGATGGACGAGGAAAACATGAGAGGAGCTGTCTAATGCTGAAAGAAAAGCAAAACGAAGTCTAGCTTTCACGGGCCACCTGAGAGGTGAACAGTATGAAATGTTGCCCGGCAGGCACCTGCCTGTGGACCTACCCCTTAGACTGGGCTCGGATGCCTGGAACAGCCAGCATTCCTGGCTCGGCTAGAGAGAAGCCCCCACGGGTGACTGTCTCCACGAGCAACACTGGTCTATATTCTAAGCTGCCACCCAGTGCTCTGTGTCCTAAGGACTATAGGCTGGAATCCATTTAGTCCAAAGTAGAAGCCATCACTTGGATGGTTAATGAGAACCTTTTTAAAGTCCAAACACCTGAAGAAGCTGAGGTATTGCCCTGGCCGGTGTGGCTCCGTTGGTTAGAGCACTGTCTCACACACCAAAATAGTGGTGGTTCGATTCCCAGTCAGGGCACATACCTAGGGTGCAGGTTCCATTCCTGGTCGGGGGCGTGTATGGAAGGCAACCAATCGATGTTTCTCTCTCTCTCCCCCTTCTTTTCTCTTTCTTCTATCTTTCTCTCTAAAATCATTAAATATATATAAAAAAAAAGAAGAAGCTGAGGTATCCATCTCCTCCTTCCAACCTCTGCTGCCTGCCTGCTCCTCAAGCCCCTCGAGCTCCGCGGCTGCTCTCAGAAGCCACACAGTGTGAAGACTGGTGGGAGCGAGGGGGCTGATCCTTCTGTGCTGCTGAGGAAGATGTCCAAGACATGTTTACAAGGAAAAGGCAATGGCATATGGAGTGGTGTGGTTCCATTCTTATAAAAACAAAACATTTGGAAGGAGACTAACCAGGAATGCATCAACCCAAGTGCTACACTGTACATATGTGTTAGGGAGGGGCTAGGCTTTCAGGTGGATTTTCACTTCAATGTTCTATAGGCCCCCACCTTCCGAATTTTACACTTTTTCTTATCTTTGAACTTTGTCCACATCCACATAGTATTTCCCGGTTTTCTAAAATGCTTTTAAGATAATGGCTCATGTTCAGCTTTGTGGCAGACGTGGACAGAAATATGATTCACATAGAATTCTCTTACACACGTCGACCACAGAGACTGAGCGCACTCTCTAAGAAAGACTCTTAAGTGCCTAGTGAAATTACACGTGATTTTTCACCCCCAGGAAATATGTACGTCTGGCATTCTGAGCTAGCGTCCAAAGTCCTCGGCCTGGGCTGAACCCTGTCCCCTCACTCCAGCCTAGGAAGCTTCAGGGATCGACAAATCCGCTGGTGCGGTCACTCACTGGTGAGACGGGCAGGCAGTTCCCCACTGGTGCCGCTGACAACTGCAATGCACCTTCTCGTGCATCCTTGTGTGTGGTAAATCATGTAATCCTTTCAGCTGCCTTCTGCAGTGGGTATTGCTAATCCCAGTTTACAAATGAGGTTTTGGGGTTCAGTGGGGTCCAGGTTGGGACTATAGCCAGGACCCTCAGCATTCCCAGAGCCCATCTGCTCCACATCTCACCACCTCTCCCAACTTCACAACCCATCTCAGTGCTGGAAGCATTTGCAAATGCTGCCCCCTGGAGGCCCAACACTGCTAATACACCTGCACAAACAGTTTCCAAAAGAATTAACATTGTAATGCTAACATTTAAAACTAATAGTTCAGATCTGCAGGAGTCCTTGTATCACTATCTATCAGAGGAAGGTGAGTGAGAAAGTGGCAGTTCCTCACAGAGAACACTATGAAGCCAGCTTGCACTTGAGGGGCACAATGTAAAACACAACGATGGTGGCTTCAAACAATTAAGCTCAGATGCAGAATGTCTTAAAACTAATAATTTTGCAATTGAGCGTTCAGAACCTAGGTCCCAGAGTTCTGTTTAATATGCTTCTTCACTATAATCACTCACAAGAAGGGGCTGCAAAGGCAAATGCCCATAAGGTCCAAGCAGATACACTGTACGTGACAGAAGCAGGTAGGAGAAAAATCAAGAGGAATGATAACTACTGGCAGGAAATGGAGGGAAGGCACAGCCTCAAGGCAAACACACTCAGTTTTTACAAAAATAGGACAGGGCAGACAAAACGAGGGACGATTTGTCCGGCAGGCCTCAGTCTCAACCCATTAAAGAAACGTGCTTAGCTAATATGGACTTAAAGGCAGGTAAAGGACTAGAATTTCCATGTGATTTACTTTTCTTTTAAGAGTGTTGATTACAGATCACTCCTGTAGCCGTCCTTCTGAGGAATCCAACACTTTGTACAACGTCTGCACTTCCCGCTGTCCTCCGAAGAGTGCTACACATGCCTTTTGAGCTTTATTTTAATCCCTATGAGCAGTAGACAGTGTCCTACTTAAGAATATACACTTTAGCCCTGGCTGGTGTGACTCAGTGGATTGAGCACTGGCCTGTGAACCAGGTCACTGGTTTGATTCCCAACAGGGCACACGCCTGGCTTGTGCACCAGGTCTCCAGCTTGCAAGAGGCAGTTGATCAAATGTATCTCTTGCACATCAATGTTTCCCTTCCTTCCCATCTAAAATAATAAAATCTTAAAAAAAAAAAAAGAATATACACTTTAGTTATCATTTGAAGAATTTCAACCAGGGGCCCATATTCTACAGGCAGATCCTACAAGGTGTTTCAACCACATTAATCACCAGTGAGCACCAGAAGGCTTGTAAGTTATTATCATGGATGTCAGAAAAGTCTTTAGATTACTGGTGAAGGCAGTACTGTTTATGACATATGGACTATTTATGAACACTGCATACATGTGGCCACCTTGCACAGGCCGGGCACGTCCTAGTGAATCCAACAGTCCAAAGCCTTTGTAGTGGTGCCTTAGGTCCAGGTGACTGTTAACTGAGTTGTTGTGAGTTCTGACTAGGTTAGCTGAATCCTGCTGCTAGAAGACTCCCTCTATCTCAAGTGAGTGCTTTTCCTGCAAGGTGCCTGCTGGAGAACTACAAGGAGAAAGCACCTCACAGAACAAGGCATGTGGCTCTTGGGTACCTGCTTACTGATAGTCTGCAGATGTGGCAGAATTATGTCCCGTAACTTGACTGAACTGAGGATCCCTGTTACCTTATCTGGAACTGCTCAGATCCACTGACAACCTCCTTCATCACTGGGAAGCACCTGACCAGCAGCTTAAGCCAATGCAAAAATTCAGAAGAAAAAGAGGCAGAAGACTTCAGTAAGGAGAACCTCTTAGGTTCTAGCCACATGGCCAGGGAAGTGTATCAGAATGAGGGCCTCAAAACAGCCTCTTACACCTCTGAGGGAGACAAACTCACTGTCCTGAAAGATGGTCCATGGCTGAGATGCATAACTGAAAACCCAGCCTTGTCAAGGACCAAATGGGGAAAAAAATGTGAACGTTGAACTTTTCCCCCAGTTCATGTCTGTGGGTCCCTGGGAGGCCCCATGTCACTCACCATGCTCCTCGTAAGGATCATTGGGATCATCAGCCACCAGCTCGGCACTGCTTGGAGTTTCATGGTCTTCTTTGGTCACAAATATGATTCGATCCTTCCCTAGTGTTTAGAGGGCAGAGGAAGATACCTTTCACTTAAAAGCAGTGAATCAGCCCTAAAGCCAAAATGGTAAGAGGAACCAGGTTTGAAGACTGTCCCCAGTGAAATCCCAAATTAAGGTGACCATCAAACTGCCCTCTCTGGGCTGAATCCCTGACTCTGCGTGATGCACGGTTTAGCAGCCACTTTCACTGAGCGCCTGTGGCTGGAACGAAAACTCCACCGAGGTCTTAGGTGAGTAGGATGACAGCACACTCTGCCCACCATATGTATCCTCCACATGGGAGATGAGATTCCCAGCTCTACCAAATGCAGCTGCTTTTAGTCCCCAGATTTGCTGACATTCCACTGGTGCAATGAGTCTGTCTTCCTTCCATCAAGAAAGGAGCAGTCCTTTTCAGAGACCTCAGGGGGCGGGTGTGATCTTCAAGCTTACTCTCTGCTGTGCTCCAGACAGCCAGTGCGTTTCAGAGAGGATTCCATATGTGTGGTGCCCTGGGTTTTGTGGCTGCCACCCAGGGTACACCCCTTGATTGCCTGGCTCTGGTGGCTGAGGATGCTTATATTCTGGTGTCCCACAAGGCTGTGGCAAGCAAAGAGATGGCTCCTGGGAGGCAGCCATCCCCACGGAACTGCACCGACAGTGGACTAAGGTAATCATCTCCCACCCGAGAGTCTTTCTGTTAAGGAGGTCTTTACTCGTTTAGATTTTGGCGTGAGGGGCAGACTTCAGGTCGGGCAGACATCTAGTGGCTTATGGGACTGCTCTCCAAAAATGTAGGCTGTGAAGGCCAAATTGGTGTTCTTCCTCTGCCATACTCCAGCTTTCTGGTGTCACCTAGAAAAGAGCTTATACATTTGTCTGCAGTGACTGTCACCCAAGGGACACCTCCAGATTGCCTGGTTTTGGTGGCCAGTGGGATATAGGCTTGTAGTCCCAAAAGACTGTAGAGATTTGTAAACTTTTAAAAGTTGATGCCTGAGCCCTGGTTGGTGTGGCTCAGTGGATTGAGTGCGAGCTTGTGAACCAAAGGGTCACCGGTTTGATTCCCAGTCAGGACACATGCCTGGGTTGTGAGCCAGGTCCCCAGTAGGGGGCACACAAGAGGCAAACACACAATGATGTTGCCCTCTCTCCCTTTCTTTCTCTCTTCCCCTCTCTAAAATGAATAAATAAAACCTTTAAAAACAGAAAGTTGATGCCTAAAGTATCTATCTTTCAGCAAACCTGAATTTAGGTGCTGAGACTTTCCCTTTTCAGACGTGGCCAGTTCTGGCACATCCTCCACTACTGGGAGCTATTGCAAATACAACAGGCTGCTTGGCCAAGTCCAAAGACTGACATGCAAGGGCTGGGGCAGGGGTGAACGACAAGTTTCACCTCCCACATTAGCCCACTTCTTCAAGGCTTAGGTTGTTTCATCTAATGCATAGAAACCTACACAGAGAGTCAAGCAGTGTAAAGAAACAAAGAAACATGTTTCAAAAACGAACAAAAAAACCCAGATAAAACTCAGGAAAAAACAAAGAACAAAACCAAAATAAACTTCCCTAACCTGGGGAAGGAAGTAGATATCCAGATCCAGGATGTCCAGAGAGGTCCAAATAAGGGGAACCCAAAGATACCCACACCAAGTCAAATTATAGTTAAAATGTCACAAATTAAAGATTAGGAGACAATATAAAAAGTAGTAAGAGAAAAACTTGTTAAATACAAGGGAAGACAATCAGATTTTTTCACAAACTGTGTAGGTTGGGAGTGGAATGATACATTCAAAGTACTAAAAGAAAAATAACTTCTGACCACAAATACTATAACCAGCAAAGTTTTCATTCAGAAATAAACGAGAGCCCTGATTAGTGTGGCTCAGTGCGTTGGGCATCATCCTGCAAACCGAGGGGTCCCTAGTTCGATTCCTGGTCAGGGCACATGCCTGGGTTGTGGGCCAGGTCCCAGGTTGGGGGTGTGCAGGAGGCAGCTGATTGATGTTTCTCTTGCATATCGATGTTTCTCTCCCTCTCTTTCTCTCTTCCCCTCTCTCAGAAGTTAAGTGAATAAAATCTTAAAAAAAAATAAATAAAGGAGAGAAAAAGAGTTTTCCAGACAAGCAAAAGCTACAGGAGTTCATCACCACTAAACTGACCTTATGAAAAATGTTAAATGGACTTCTTTAAGTTGAGGGGAAAAAGGGTGCAAATTAATAACAAGAACATATATGAAAGGATAAATTTCACTGGGAAGGGAAATATATAGCAAAGGTAGTGGATTAAACACTTACAGAAGCAAGTAGATAGTTTAAAGATAAAAGTAAAAAAACTACAATTACAATAATTAGTTACAGGATACACAAAATAAAAACATGTAAAATGTGACATTAAAAACAAAATGTAGGGGAGAGAGAATAATAATGTTGAGCTTTACAATGATATCAAACTTTGTAAGTTGTTATCAAATTAAAAATAGCTTTATATACAATATATGTAAGTTGTTACATGTATGCCTCATGGTTACTGTGAAGCAAAAACCTGCTGCAAATACACAAAAGATAAAGGGAAAGGAATATAAGCAAATTGCTAAAGAAAGTCATCAAACCATGAGAGCAAGAGAAGAAAGAGATAAACTACAAAACTGTCAGAAAACAATTAACAAAATGCAGTAAGCACAAACCTACCAATAATTATTTATGCACCTAACATAGGAGCACCTAAATATAAAAAGCAAGTATTACGAGACCTAAAGGGAAAAATAGCAATCCAGTAACAGCAGGTGACTTTAATACCCCACTTACATCAATAAACAAATTATCCACACAGAAATCAATTAAGGAAACATTGGCCTCAGATGGACCAATATCAGATGGACTTAAAAGACACTTACAGAACATCCTATCCAGAACAACAGAATACACATTCTTCTCAAGTGCATATGGAACAGTTTCCAAGATAGATCATATGTTAGGCCATAAATCAAGTCTTAATAAATTTAAGGAGTTCTGGCTAAGATGGAGGTGTAGGTAGATACACTTTGCCTTCTTGCAAAACCAAAAGAAGGAAACAACCAATCTAAAAACAAAAAACAACAAGAACTGCCAGAAAATTCAAGTGTAGGAAAGTCCAACAACCAAGGAGTTTAAGAAGGAATATCCATCCAGAAGGATAGGAGGGGCAGAGATGGGCAGCGGGGGTGGAGAGGACACAAGGTTTCAGTGGTGGCTGGCGGACCGGGTGGGTGAGGCGGCACCTGCAGACTGGATGGTCCCACATTCGTGTGCAGATAAACTGGGAGGAACACCTGGGGAGTGAGACAGACCATGCAACCCAGGGTTCCAGCACTGGCAAGATAAGGCCTCAGAACATCTGACTGTAAAAAATCTGTGGAGGTTGTGGTGGTGGGAGAAACTGCCAGTCTCTTGAAAATGGGATAAGAGCTGTGCAATTAGCATTGTTCCCTTTCTGACCCCTCCCCCACAAACAGTGTCACAACCCAGGATTGTGAGTTGCCCTGCCCTGGTAAATACCTAAGGCTGTGCCCCTTACAACGTAACAGGCATGCCGAGACCAACAAATATGGCCCAAATGAAAGAACATATCAAAACTCCAGAAAAAGGACTAAGCGACAAGGAGATGGCCAACCTATCAGATGTACAGTTCGAAACTCTGGTAATCAGGATGTTCCCAGAAATGATTGAGTATGGACGCCAAATAAAGGAAGAAGTGAAGGCTATACAAAGTAAAATAAAGAAAAATATGCGGGGAACAATCAGTGAAAGGAAGGAAACTGGGATTCAAATAAACAATTTGGAACAAAAGGAAGAAATAAACATTCCACCAGAACAGAATGAAGAAACAAGAATTCAAAAAAATGAGGAGAGGTTTAGGAAACTCTGGGACAACTTTAAACATTCCAATATCCGAATCAGAAGGAGTGCCAGAAGGAGAAGAGGAAGAGCAAGAAACTGAAAATTTGAAAAAATAATAAAAAAAACCTTCCCCAATCTGGTAAAGGCAATAGACATACAAGTCCAGGAAGCTCAGAGTCCCAAACAAGTTGGACCCAAAGGGGAACATGCCAAGGCACATCATAATTAAATTACTCAATATTAAAGATAAGGAGAGAATCTTAAAAGCAGCAAGAGAATAGGAGACAGTTACCTACAAAGGAGTTCCCATAAGACTATGAGCTGATTTCTCAAAAGAAACCTTACAGGTAAGAAGGGAATGGAAGGAAGTATTCAAAGTTGTAAAAAGCAAGAACCTACAATCTAGATTACTCTATCTAGCAAAGCTATCATTTAGAATGGAAGGGCAGATAAAGTGCTTCCCACATAAGGTCAAGTTAAAGGAGTTCACCATCACTAAGCCCTTATATGAAATGTTAAAGAGACTTAATCTAAGAAAAAGAAGATCAAAACTATAAACAGTAAACTCAACAAATACAACTATCAACAACTGAACCTAAAAAAGACAAAAACAAAAACAAACTAAACAAACAACTAGAACAGGAACAGAATCACAGAAATGAAGATCACATGGAGGGTTATCAGTGGGGAGGGGGAGGGAGGAGAATGGGGGGAAAGGTAAAGGGAATAAGAAGCATAACCAAATAGGTACAAAATAGACAGGTGGAGGTTAAGAATGGTATAGGAAATGGAGGAGCCAAAGACCCTGCATGTACAACCTATGGACATGAACTAAGTGGGGGGAATGCTGGAGGGAATGAGGGTACTGGGCAGAGGGGAATAAAGGGGAGAAAAAGAGGAATGGGACAAATGTAATAGCGTAATCAATAAAATATACTTGAAAAAAGCCTTAATAAATTTAGGAGAATTAAAATCATATCAAGCACCTTTTCTGACTACAACAGTATGAAATCAGAAATTAATGACACAATGAAAATGAAAAATTCAAAAACATGTAGAGATTAAGCAATATGCTATTGAACAACAAATGATTCAAAGAAATCAAAAGAGAAATAAAAAAACACCTTGAGAAACAAAAAT